TCCAAAGCTTCCACGTCCTTCTGGTAATGTCGCGACCAAAACTGCATACAGTACTCCAAATGCAGCCTAACAAGGGTTTTATATAGCTGCAACATAGTTCGCCAACTCTTGTACTCTACGCCCTGGTCAATTAAGGCTAGCATGCCACATGCTTTCTTGATCACATTGGCCACCTAGGTTGCCAGAAAATCCTGAAATGGGATAAGTGATTTAACATCACATTCAGTTCTTTTCTAATGAAACATCTTACTGTTACTTCCCAAGTACGTTACCATCGGAGAGAAAGATGGTGAAAATATTTAACAGTGTTTTCAGGTTTGCAAGAATGAGTTTGAGAAACATACCAGCCCTCGAATGGTGGAGCAAACTTGATGGAATGAATGGCCTAATTCTCCTCCTACTTCTTACAGTCTTGTGGTCTTGTTAACCCTGACAACTTTCTACCTTTCTGGAGTGTTTTCAGCAAAGAGATAATCTTTGATTATTTATGCTTTGATTCCCCATTTAGCATTTTCAACTTCACAGTCATATTTGATTTTTAGTCATCTCCATTGCATATAATGTTGATCATTTACTTCTTACTTCGTACATCCCAGAAGACAATTGTTTTGTATATTGCATTTTTATTGGACATTAAATAGGTCTTCAATCTATTTCTTGCTGAATTGTAGTCAATTTTATTTTGTGCAGGGGCCAATGTCTTAAGTGACACCTTCAAATTCTTCATAGAAACCGAAAGAACTGCGGATGCTGTAATTCAGGAACAGGAACAGAAACAAAGTTGCTGATAAAGCTCGGCAGGTCTGGCAGCATCTTGAAGGAGAAAACAGAGTTAACGTTTTGGGTCCACTGACCCAAAACGCTAACTCTATTTTTTCCTTCACAGATGCTGCCAGACCTGCTGAGCTTTTCCAGCAACTTTGTTTTTGTTCCTTTAAATTCTTCACCACTTTTGTGGAGAAGTAAGATCCTTTATTACCTGCAACTGCACCTTCAAAACTTAGCAGACCTTTTTTCCAATGTATGAATACAGATGAAGGCTTCAAATGTACCTCAATATCATTTCAGTCAGCAGAGCAGTAATACTGTAAAATCAAGGAGCTGGGATTTCATTCCTTTGAAAGAAAGCTTTCACTGTAACAGTTCAACATTTTTTGTTTCTCTGTTTGGATGGTTAATTTTGTCAGATCAGTGTGCATATATGCCATGCCAGCCTGTTGCTGCTGTCAAATTGAAGAGTCTTCCTGTTTCTGTCTAACAACAGATGACATTTAGCCACAAAATGCTGCTTAAATCCCCAAATTAAAATGCTATCTCCGAAAAGAGACAGTAAGATGTTTTGTTAGAAACAGAACTGAATGTGATGTTAAATCACTTATCCCGTTTCAAGATTTTTGTTACTGGTACATTTGTATGGAAACTGGACAAAATGCACAATGGAATTCCCAATAGACAAAAAAAATGTAAATATGGAGAAATGTACACGTTGTATTTGTCTTTACAACATCTTCAGTTTTTAGGCAGTTTGTCATATTATTTAATTCCAGTACTTGAAAACAATCATCTGGTCTTTTGTGAGTGTATAACTAATCAAGTTCAACAACTATTTTGTTTCTTTGAAAACCATCTTTTTGAGTTGACCTAGCACAATTAACTGGAATGGAAATAATTCCCTCAAAATAAACTTGCTGATTTAATTTTACTCTAACTCTATTCTGCCTAATATCTCAACCAGTGTACTTAAAAGCCAAAAGCTTGAATCCCAATCTGAAATTTCTCCTCAGTCCTAAAGACAGGAAACAACAGAATCAGGTTTTCCAACAAGAGAACGAGGCCAAATGTCGTGTTTTCCTAAAAGATCAAGGAATACTAACTGGTGAGAAATAGGTATCAATAATTACTGCAGCATAGACTGGGCCAGTCCTGATACATACTGCCAAGAGACAATATAGCATGGAGAAGACATGCAGATCAACTATTGGCAATCAGAAAGTGTCCAAGACAACATTAATTGAAGATTCACAAACAATTGTGCCGAATACAGACTTGGATATACCTGAAGACGGAACAGTAATTGGAATATGTGAAGGAGATGGTACCTTAGTGAAGAATACCACAACATTGTACTAACCTCTGAACGTTCAGTCGTCTCAGGAAAAGACAATGACAGATGAAGTTCCCAGTACATCTAAACAATCAGAGATTAAAGCAGGGGTACACTGACAACCACACAAGAATTGACATCCTCCAAAACATCTTACCTACTAACTGTTGTATATATGATTGTAAATGTATATGATGTAGAGGGGAAGTGCTATTATGCTTTTGTATAGTATAGTGGACTGTCATGTTAAGAGTCTGATCACATGACATAGTGATGATGTCATTGGCTGCTTTGGATGGACAAACAGCTTTCTTTCACCTTGGTGCCTGTAGAGTGAGCACCTTCAAAATGAACAGCTATCCAAAATCTACAGTTCTTTGTTTTATTTTAGCTCCATAATAAAGCTCCTATTGTTTAATGCTTCAGATTCTTCGTCCTTCCTAGAACTTAAAAAAGGATGAAAGTGAGGTTTAAAGACTTGTGTAGAGGAAGTGTGTTCTGGTTCATGGGACACCAGTACCAGTATTGAGAAAAATAAGATCTGCATCAACTGGATGTTCTTCATTTCAACTGAACTTTGATTAGTGTTTTTGCAAATCATATAGTTAGGGAAGTAGAGAGGAATTTAAACCAAATAGTGGTGGTAAAGGGATCAAATTTGGAAAGATGCAGTAAACCACAGTAGAGGGTGGAAGAGAAAGGTATTAATATGGGAAATGATAAACTGACAGGAAAGGATCAACTGTCAAATCAAAGTAAATCAACAGAAGACTAGAGATTACAGAAAGTAAAAGGTTAGAACTAAAGACTCTTTACCTGAATGCACAAGGCATTTAAAGGGAAAAAGAGGAATTGAGCATGAAAATAGAAATAAATGAGAATGATCGCCATTCCTGATGGAAAACATGGATTGAAACTTAAATATTGAAGGGTGCGGGATATTTTGGAGGGATCGGAAGCTATAGCTTTGTTAGTTAATGATGGTAACAGAACAACAGAGGAAGGATGATCCAAGTTCAGGAAACCAGGATGTGGCAATAGTTCAAGTAGAGATGAAAAATGACAACGGCAAGACATTACTTGTAGGAGTAATGTACAGGCACTTTAACAGTATCCACACAATAGGATGGGGGACAAAGGAAGAAATATGGAACCTTGTCAGAAGGACAGAATGATGATCATTTGAGCTCTCAATTTACATATAGACTAGAAAAATTGGAAAGGCAAAGATAGTCACAATGAATTTTTAGAATTTTTTTGCGATAGTTTCTCAAAACATCATGTCTGGACTTCATATTCTGCAATGAGATTGAAGTAATTAATGATTTGACAGATAGCAGTGATTGTAATATGATTGAATTTTACATTGTTTGAAGGAGAGAGTGAATCTAACATTTTTGTTTAAAAAAATTTAACTCAGGGAAATTGAGAGCATGAAAGCACAGCTGGTTAAAGTGAATTGGCAAATTAGGTTGAACATTAGGTCAGTTGGGACGCAGTGCCAGACTTTTAAGGGAAAGAACATTTACCAGACTGATTCCGGGGATAGCAGGACCTCTGTATGAAGAAAGAATTGATTAATTTGGACTTCATTCACCAGAGTATAGAAGTATGATGGGATATCTCACAGAAATCTGTAAAATTCTAATAGGAGACAGTATATACAGGAAGGATGATCCCAGTGATTGGGAGTACAGATCAAGGATCATACTTTAAGGATACAGAATAGGACATTTAGGTTGGAATTGGGAAGAAATTTCATCACCCAGAGAGCAAGGAGCCAGTGGAATGCTATGTCACAGAAAACAGTTGAGAGCAAAATGTTGCACATTTTCAAGAAGAAGTTAGATATCATTCTTTGTGCTAAAGTGATCAAGGGATATGAGGAGAAAGCAGAAACAAGAGCATTATGTTGAATGGCTAGCCATGATGCTATTGAATGGTGGAACAGGTTTGGAGAGCTGAATGGCCGACTCCTGCTTTTCTTTATTTCTATGTTTCTACGGGATATTTCCAGATACACAAAATAGACGCATTCCAATGAGTAAGAACAATTCCAAAGGATGCACCCACCTAAGATTAACTAGAAAGATGAAAGCTAGTATTAAACTTCAAAAAATATATTATTGTGCAAAAATGGATGCCAGGTCTGAAGATTGGATAGAATATAACAAACAGCATAGAACAGTTAAAAAATTAATAAGGAAGGAAAAATTAGAGTACAAGAGAAAGCTAGCCATAAGTATAAATATTTAAAATAAAGTTAGTGAACATTGATGTTATAGGAAGAGATAGGAGGAACTGCAGATGCTGGAGAATCTGAGATAACAAGGTGTAGAGCTGGATGAACACAGCAGGCCAAGCAGCATCATAGGAGCAGGAAGGGTGACGTTTCGGGCCTAAGAAAGCCTGATGAATTATTAACGCAAAATCAATTCATAGCAGGCCACTTGAAAAAATATTTTGCATACAAAATGAGGGTTTACTTTTGGTGGGAGGGTATTTAAACAACTGTACCACAAACTTAGTGGAGAGCCAATGCGGAAAAAAGTGAAAAGACGATGTTTCACGGAAATTCTGATCGAAATCTTACTTTATTGTCTCGTTCCTCATCCTTATCTAAAGTGCGTTTTAAGAGAAAAACAAGTTTAATTTTAAAATCAATGTCTTTTTGAAGGAGGCGGGAGAAAGAGGAGACGTACAGGAAATTTGATCTATCCGCAGTGTGCATTAATCTTCTGTAAACTTTGGTGTAGGAATTGTTGTATTGCTCATGAAGGGGAACATAGATTGTTATTGCATGACAGAAGTTAATATACTGGCAGTGATAGGGTCAGTTTTGCTGTTCCATTCGGTCCGTGAGCAGCAGTCAACGTCATGTGACACAGTGCTCGCTACACCCGCATCAATCTCGCTGCAACTTGAATTTCCTGCACAATAACCAATAGTTCCAAGTAACCAGAGAGGAAGCGTCACCCTCAATAACATGGGCGCAGTTCTCAAGCTCTGGCTCTTGGTCTTAGGTAAGGATTCACTTTGATTCCAGTTAGCAGTCATTGCAGTTGGACTCGGTTTCTGTGGAGCTAATGGTCCCATTTGTTGTCTGGTTATGTTCCAGGGCCTGTTGTCCCTCTAGAAGTGATTGAGTCTCCTCCAGTTCTCTCCCTCCTGAAAGGACAGACAGCTCGGATCAACTGTAGCCTGATACCGGGAGAGGAGCGGGCTGATTTGGTGAAATATTATTGGTGTCGGGCAAGAGACATGCCTGATTTCAGCAGCAACACATCCAGGAATTTCGTGAAAAACAGCCCCCGTGTGTCCGTGTCTATGTCTGAGAGTTTTCTCATCATCCGGGAACTGATGCTGAATGATTCTGATACTTACCAATGTGTGGTTCTCAGAGAGAAACCTCGGCCCTGGAAATACTTCCTGGGAAATGGAACAACATTGAACGTCCAAGGTAATTGTGAAAGATCCTAAATATTCAGCAGGAAGGGTTGCATCTGGAAACAGAAACAGGTCACGGTTCAGATAAACGACCTTGCTGATAAACTGTTCACCAATTAAACCTCCAACTTCTTCCAGTTCTCACCAAAACACGCCGACCTGAGCCGTGGCCTGTTTCTGTCCCCACAAAGACTGCCTGACCTGCTGAGTATTTCCAGCAACCGCGATATTTTGTTTCTGATTCAGAGTCTGGACAGACTAGACAGGGAGAGGCTATCTCCATGTCCGAATATCTCAAGAAGCAGAGTCCACATGAGGGTTCGGTTTTAGCCCGCACTGCCGCAGAGTGTGGCGGACACAGATTCAATCGGGAATTTTAAAACAGAATGGGACAACATTCTGAAGAGAAGGATTCTAAAGAGGAACATTTTTCAGAGTTGCCGAAAAAGCCGAGTTGCTCTGGCTCAGCATGGACACGATGGGCCAAATCGCCTCGTTCTGTGCAGAGACCTTCCTCTGACTAGATTAAGGGAGAGCGAAATAGCTCAATATGCGAGAGAAGGAAACAGAAATAGTGCCCAGAAACACACAAATATAAACCAGACTGGGATGTTCTGTGGGATCAAATGGTTTGCCCGGGATGAGCTTTAATCTGACGGTAACCACTCACCACCTCCTTTTCTATGAGATCCTTTCAGTCCAGATCCTTTTCAAAACTTAGTTTGAAGAAAAACGCCCAAAAGACAAACCTCTGTAATCCGAAACCCAACAAGTCAACTACGAAATAAAACAAAACTAATTTGGGGGAAAACGTTTTTTTTTATCATTTCCTGGAATATACTGTTCCAAAGAAACACAACCCAAATTCGTGTCGGAACGAAACTGACTTTGGATCACGGGATCTCATTCTGTTTCACATTGTTCATGTGGGTTATATTTTTCTTGTGTCGGTCATTTGGAACTCGGTGTACTATTTATCAAATCGATCCTGCACTGCTGTCCCGTTGAGTATCAAAGTTGCAAACAGTTTTAATCGCCGCTCTCCTTGTTATCTGTATATCTCTATTTGTTACAATGAAGTGTACTGTTTTGATGTGTTTATTTAGCGAAACCTGAAATCTATCTGACTGCGGATCCCCAGAATGAAGATGTTGGGATTCAGACACTGACTTGTTTGGCCGCGGGATTCTCTCCGAGAGATCTGAACATTTCCTGGATTGTTGAGGGGGATGTCTCGTATCAGGAAGAGCCGGGTTCGCTGACAGTAAACAGTGACAGCAGCTATAACCTGACCTCCCGGCTGCGGATTACAAACCCTCAGCGGGAGCAGGGAGCCACCGTCTCCTGTCTCATTGAGCACAGGACATTCACTGGGTTAGTGACAGCAAGCTTCAGCAACAGCACAGGTAGGTCCTTCAGCATTACATCCCACATTACATTATTCCCAGCTGCAGTTAGTGGAGCTTGAAAAAATAATTTCATTTTCAAACATGCAGTGTTCGAGATAGAATTACGGAACAGAGAGAGTGAAATGCACACTCAGTATTTTAACCGTATTGCAAGAAAATGCACTCGAAATTCCATTCAAATTGACAAATGCCAGCGCTGTATTTGTTGGTAATTATTGTAAATGATGGTGGTGAATGGAAATCGGCAAAAGCAACCAATCAGTTGGGAGCCGCAGTCGGAAATCTCAAACAAAGTAACTGACCTGGAATCAACTTCCAACATTTGTTTTCACACAGTTTAATTCTGTCAAACAGGTGGGTTCGCTTCTGTCACTCTGTCTGAGGAGGCAATAACCTTGAGAAATATTAAAACGGAACGCAAGCCACAGCCAGTTTCAGCCCTTTGCTCTTACCCCGAGCGGTCTCACAGCTGGTTTATATCCAACATATCCAGAGCGGAGTCGCTCTATGCTTCCACACGAGGCGGCTCGGTAAGATGTGACCATCGACTAAAGAGCAATTCTGGCTTCAGGCAGAAGAGAAAAGGAATCAGAATAGGCAGCGTTTAAACGGCACGAAACAGAGGGGTAAATAACAACTTCTAGCAGATGTCAGCAGTTCTAAATGGCACAGCAGGACCGATGCATTGCTGAGACTGAGTGACCATGACTTCAATCCAGGCATTTACAGAGAAAAAGAATGCAGAAGCAAAGAGGGGAATGGACTGGGAATTGAAGTTCTGTCAAGCTATCATCGCGAATGGTCTCATCCTGTGCTCCCATTTATAATTCCCGCTAATAGCCACATACCATTTAACCGGTTGGCAGAATTCTCACTGCGTGTACCAGCCGAGAATAGAGTGAACCTGTTATGTTCTGTCGCCGATATGATATTTACATTCTTTCTGCGGCTTCACTCTGTTATAGCTGTATACAGGCAGCGTTCAAAGCTCCTGTTACACCACTATCACTGGCCGGGTGATAATCTATAAATCCCAAAAAACACGAGCTACATTGCTTCATTACCAAAGTCCGTTTGAGATTTTAGATGCAGGAATGTAACTGCAAGGAAAAGAAACGACCGTCTCCATTCAGTTCAGTCCATTCCCTCAGACAAGCGCCTTTGCCTCGCTTCTATCCCTGCTCATTGAAGCTCAGGTAAGTAAGATTATATCCCGAATTCTCAAACTTCACGTCTCTGAAAGAGAGAGAGAGGCAGACAGCGAAAAAAATTCCCTGGTCATAATCGTCGCTTTTAAAACAAGGATTGCCAAAGAAACAGCGAGGGGACACATTGAAAACGTACAAATGGAGCGATTATCCACCGGCAGCTTTGAAAGCCGCTGTGAGCCAATCCTCAGCAGACTACAGGACGCAGCACTCCAGAACCAAAATGTTGGAAATCTGAACTGAAAACAGAAAATGCTGACAATACAGGCTAGGTTGTGTCTCTGGAAAGCGAGTCAAACATTTCAGGTGGTGACCTTTCATTCACAACACCAAGGAGAGCAATTCGAAAAGTCCGCGGTCTCCCTCCCCGCAGATGCTGCCGGTTATTTGCAGCCTTTTCTGGAGTTTTAATGCATTTTTAGGATGTGGACATTGCCGGTTAGACCAGCATTTAAAATTCATCCCTAATTGCCCTTGAAAAGGTGGTAGTCAGATGTGCGCTTGAGTAGCCTCAGTCTATCTGGAGTAGGGGGCTGGTTAGCTCAGTTGGTCGGTCTGTGATACAGAACAACAGCATAGGTTCAATTCCCACAACAGCTGAGGTTATCAGGAAATCCCACCTTCTCAACTTCACCTCTCATTTGAGGCATGGTGACCCCTCAGGTTAATCTACCACCAGTCATATTTCTCTAATGAGAGAGCAGCACTGTAGCGCCTTTATTGGGAGCAGGAGTTTGGACGGGAGGAATTATAGAATGTATTAGTATGGGTGTAGAAAACTATTTCCTCTTGTCGGCTGCCTCAAAGGTTTCTGTCTCTGTAGTATGCAGTTTGAAATCAATCTTGTTAAAAATTTGCTATTTTATGCTGCCGTTAAAATAACTGACGGATCAACTGACTTTTAAAAAAGCTGACCAACAAAAAAAAAGCAGATAAACGTTGGTCCTAAATGTATGTCACTCGTCCTGAAGTTAAGGTGCTAGACTTTGTTGGCGAGAAGTGGCTTGTGCTAACAATCTGTAGCTCTATCCATCACTTACAAATAAACAGCCACAAAGGTGATTTAGAAATTACAGAAGATGGATGTGAAGCCTGAAGGCATGAGATTTATTTTCAACAATATTTATCCAGCACTTTTATTTCACTAAACTATCTTAAGGCACTTCCCAAAAGTATTATCAGTCAAAATGTAACACTGAACCACATTAAGAAAATCAAATTAAATAAACCATTCCACCAACCTATTCTCTTTCCAAATCCAGGCAAATCTGTAACTGAAGCAATTAACATTCATAAACAAAAATAATTGGTATTTCACATTAAGGAATACCCTCGCAATCTCACTGAGGATGCAACTGCTTAGCGAGAAATGTGACCTTTGTGTTTCATGAAGCATCAATCAGACATGCTCCAAATACCTTTTCACTAAAATACAAATGTAAACATCTCAGAGATAGCGGATGCTGGAGTCAAAGTGCAGCTTATTTGTCAAAAGTGACTTTGTTGGGAGGAGCCATTAAATAAACACACCTGTACATGTGACTTTCAGAAACTTCTGAAAGCTTTTATCAGTTATTCAACTCATGGTTGGATCTAAGAAAAAATTAGAAAATTAATCATCTGATTCTAGTTCTGTCCTTCAACCATATTGGTCCTGACAGTCTCCAGTTCCAACTTTCAAATTAGATGATCAATCTCCAATATAGGTGAACTCGTTTAAGTTTTCTTTTTGAACCACAACTGGCAGTTTATAATAATAAATGTCAGTTTGTCACATTGCTAGTTATCACGTATGTATTGAAAACTAAAAATAGTACAAATCATTTTTAAAAAGGCAGCATTGGTAACGGTACAACTGCATTTAGACAAATGTGTTGGATGAGTTCTGAAAAAGGGTCCCATAATGTTAACTCTGATTTCTCTCCACAAATGCTGCCAGACCTGTTGAGTCTTTCCAGCAATTTTATTTTTGTTTCTGATTTCCAACATCCACAGTTTTTTAGTTTTTTTTTAATTGCATGTGGGATTGGAAAGGCACATTATGAAGTAAGTTTGAAATTACCAATAATTTGAGCAAGGAGCTCAAATTACATGGCCTACTTCAAACTTGTGTAACTGCAGTATAAATTGAGGAGTGGGTTCAAGAAAGGTTGCTGAACATCAATTTTCTGCATGCAAGTATACATAGATGATTTGTTTATTAGTATCTGGCTGTGGTGAACTTGTTACTGATCATGAAGAGTTTAGAGAAGGGAGGCTCAGTGGGCTGACTTAGTTTTTAAAGTTATTTGTAAACATCTGTATTGTTATTCGGTGCAAAGTGAAAATACTGTATTACCATCTCAGGCTGTTGTGCACAGCTGCTTTTGCAATATAATTGCAGGATAATACAGTGAGTTGTGACCTTCCCCACCTCAGGTAGTGACAAAACCAGTCATGAATAATATGACAGGTATGATAAAGACTCAGTGATGGCATGGAGTTTGTCCTTCAATAAATAAATAACTTAAGAGGGTTCAGAAAAGATTTACAAGGATGTTGCCAGGGTTGGACGATTTCAGCTATAGGGACAGGCTGAATAGGCTATGGCTCCTTTCACTGAAGCATCAAAAGCTGAAGGGTGACCTTATAGAGGTTTACAAAATCATGAGTGGCATGGATAGGGTAAATAGACAAGATCTTTTCCCTGGGATAGGGGATTCAAAATCGAGAGGGCACAGGTTTAAGGTGAGAGGGGAAAGATTTAAAAGGGACGTAAGGAGCAATATTTTCACGCAGACGGTGGTGCGTGAATGGAATGAGCTGCCAGAGGAAGTGGTGGAGGTTGGTACAACTACAATATTTAAAAAGCATTTGAAAGGGTGTATGTATTGGAAGGGTTTAGAGGATACAGGCCAAAGGCTGGCAAATGGGACGAGATTTATCTCGGACATCTGGTCAGCATGAATAAGTGAAGTGAAGTGCCTGTTTCCGTGCTGTACATCTCTATGTTTCTATGACTCTATACCTCCTATGTTTTTTGGGGAATTTTTAGTAGAGATAGGATAATGCATATCACATTACTGTTACACAAATGGAATTAATTTTGGCATCATTCCTTAATGGCATTCCATTGGATGAATCCTATTAATACATTTCACACAAACAAGTCAACCAAAAAAATTCAAGTGACAGACAATAAGTATATTTCATATTTAATATGTGGTTAAAGAAGATAATTGAAGATTTGAATTTAAAATTATTGCATGCTATGTAGCTTTTCTTGATCTTGTTTATAATTAATTATTACTAATGTTTTGATTCATGTTTCAATTGTTATTTTAAGGTTTTTTCAAGTATTATTACCTTGGCCTGCTGAGTCCTATCCTTATTGTACCAGTTTGTCTTTGGATCATAAAGAGTCAATGCTGTAAACTAAAGAATGGAAAAGGTAATCAGATAAAATGCAATCTTTTTAATGGCTGAATATATTTCATTGGAAATAGTGTGTAAGTGCTGCATGAAATAATTCTAACAAAAATAACCATTAAAAAAAATCATGTTCCACAGGCAGTAAGAGTTCAGGATAGCAGATAATTAGCCATCTGAAACAGGAGGAAAAGACAGAAAGTGCAGGAGCCATTGGTGTTTGTGCCACTCTCAAAATGTTGGTCAGCCTTAAGACTATTGTGAGTGATGAGTTGTCTAACGAGAGCAGTGGAGCCAAATAGTAGGGATTGGGAAGATAGATCAAATGATGGGAGATATGGTAAATGCAAGGGAAAGGACAAGTCAACAGCGTAAGGTAATAACATGGGTACTGATAAGCAGTGTGGCAGGAAGAGACAGAGCTTAAAATTTAAGATTGGATCATCAAATAAGGCCAATATTTGCAAAATATGATAAAAAGAAATAATTAAAAGTTTTGTATTTGAATACATTCATAACAAAATGGATGAAATGTCATGTCATAGAGGAGTAAATATGTATGATTTGACAGCTATTACAGAGATATGACCACAGCGTGAGCAAGACTAGAACCTATATATTAAAGCTTCACAATACTTCAAAAGGACAGGAAATTCAGAAAAGCTGTTGAGGTAGCTGTGTTAATTAAAAATGCAATTAGTACAACACTAAAAGATAACATTTGTGCTAAAGATCAAGATGCAGAATTAGCTTTGGTAGAAATAATAGACAGTAAATGTAAGAAGTACCTTGTGGGAGTTTTTTGTAGGTCCCCTCATAGTAACTATACTGTAGGATAGAATATACAGGAACAAATAATGGGGAATTCTGTAAAGGATACAGGATAATCAAAGATGATTGAAGTCTACGTAGAAATTGAATGAATCAGATTGGCTAGGCAGCATGGAATATCAGTTCATGTAGCATTCTCAGGGCAGTTTTTTAGAGCTGCATGTTCTCGAGTCAACTAGAGAGAAAAGTCATTCCAGAGCTCATAATGTGCAGTAACAGAAGACTGACTATAGTTCTGATTGTGAACGAGGCTCCAGGAAACCAAGGTCAAAACATGATTACATTTTGTCTTCATTTTAAGGATGAGAAGAGTCGGTTGAAGGCTAATGTTTTAAACTGAAATAAAACCCATTTCAAGGGTATGAAGGCAGTACTGGCCAAAGTGAACCGGGAGATTATGTTAAAGGATAGGACGGTAGAGATGCAGTGGCAGACATTTAATTAGACCTTTCACCATTATCAGCAAAGGTACATTTTAGTGAGAAAGCATCTTGGAGAAGAATGCCAAATCTGCGTAAGTTGAGGAAGTTTCAGATAATATTAAATTGAAAGGAAAAGTGGACAATTTTGCAAAGATTAGTGATAAGTCAGAATTATTTACAATATATATTAGTGACTTGGTTGTGGAAAGTGAAGGTACTGTAGCCATGTTTGCAGATGACACAAAAATAGGCAGGAAGGCAAATGGTGAGGATGACACAAAGAGCCTGCAGAGGGATATAGGCAGGCTAGGTGAGTGGGTGAAAAGGTGACTAATGAAATATAATGTGGGGAAATGTGAGGTTATCAAATTTGGCAGGAGGAATAGAGGAGCTGAATAATACATAAAAGGATAAAAACTGCAGAAAGCAATAGAAGAAATGGTTTGAGAGTCCTCACCTGTGAATCACAGAAAGCTACTGTTCAAGTTTAACGGGTAACAGGGAAGGCAAGTGGAATTTTAGCCTCTATTTTAAAGGGAATGGAGAATAAAAATAGGGAGATTTTGCTAAAACTATACAAGGCACAAGACAGATCACAGATTGAATACTGTAAACAGTTTTGGTTCCCTTATCTATGGAAAGATGTACTGGCAATAGAGGTAGTTCAGGGAAGATTCACCAGGCTGAAACCAAGTATGGAGGGACTGTCTTATGAAGTGAGGCTGAGTAGTTTGGGCCTGTACTCATTGGAATACAGCAGAATGGGAGGTGACCTTAATGAAATATACAAGATTCTGACGGGACTTGTCAGGGTAGATGCAAAAAGGTTGTGAGAGTCCAGGACCACAAGGTATAATCTCAGAATAAAGGATCACACAGTTAAATCAGTGATATGGGGGAATTTCTTCTCTGAGTGTGCTGATGCTGTAGAATTCTTTGTCACAGAGGGATGTTGAGGCTGTGTATATTCAAGGCTGATACAGACAGGTTTTTAATTAGTAAGGGGGTTGAATGTTGTGGGGGAATGTTAGGAAAGTAGATTTGAGGATTAACAGACCAGTTGTGACCTCATTGAATGGCAGAGCAGACTCATTGGGCTCCTATTCTTATGATTTCATGATCTATAATGAGATACATTTCTAAAACAAAGACTGACTAACAAAGTCTGGTTGAATTTAAAATATGTGAGAAAGCTAAGTAGAAATATAAAAACAAATTGTAAGATTTTCTACCAGTATTTGAAAAGGAAAAGAGGAAAGCAAGCATTGGTCCACTTGAGGGTGAGATGGGGGAATTAATGGGAACTAAAGAAACGATTGGAAGTGCGAAACAACATTTTATGTATGTCTTCAATGTAGAACACATAAATAGTATCTCAAAAATAGTTGAAAACCAGGAGCTGAAAGAGGGGGAGGTACTTAAAACAATGCAATTATGATCACAAGGGGAAAGGTACTGAGAAAATGGTGGCTCAGTGGTTTGCACTGCTGCCTCGGAGTGCCAGGGACCCAGGTTCAATTCCAGCCTCAGCACACTGTCTGTGTGGAGTTTGCATGTTCTCCCCATGTCTGTTTGGGTTTCCTTTGGATGTTCCAGTTTCCTCCCGTGGCCCAATGATGTATGGTTTAGCTTGATTGGTTATGTAAATTACCCACAGTGTCTAGGCTAGATGGATTAGCTATGGGAAATGCAGCGGAACAGGGATGGGGTGGGTCTGGGTGGGATGCTCTTCAGTGGGTTGTTGTGGACTTGATGGGCCAAATGGCCTGCTTCCCCACTGTCGGCATTCTATGAAAGCAATTAGAACTGAAAGCTAAGAGGTTCCAAGTGCCCAATGGTATGGCCTTTAAAGAAGCAGCTGATGAAATAGTAGATGCATTAGTTGTAATTTTCTAAAATGTGCTATATTCTGGAAAGGTCTCAACAGACTGGAAAAATAGTCAACAGAGCTTCTCTACAAGAAAGGAATAGGAGATGACTAAGAAGGACTACAAGGAATACATTGACACTTTGAATGCACATACATAAAAAGAGAAAGTCTTGTCAATAATGTTGATGAGGTAAAGTGCAAGCTGTGTGAGAATTTGATGTAATAGCAATAATAAACATTGCTTAAAAATTTTGAGGACTACGTGCATAAAGTTCAAGGACAAAGAGTGTTCAAAAACACATGAAAAGGAGGCAAGGCAGTGGTACTGATTCAGGAAGGCATCTTAGTATTGAAAACAGAGGGTTTCCTTGAAAGAATAAGGACAGAATCTACTTGCTTAGAATTCAGAAGCTGGAATTGTATGGCGTGTATAATTTTTTACTCTCAGTAATTGGCCCAAATGACCAAGATGTCACTGTAATAGACTACTTTCATAGTCGAATTTCAATATATATACTAGTGTACTTTACTATAAGACAGTTCTAACATTGATATACTTATAGATTCATCAGTCCATGGCAATGATGTTGATGGTCAAATTATGAAAGAATCAGACTGTGTAGTAAGTAGATTGTTTTGATATATTCCTTTACTTAACTTGAGCTGTGCTGTGCTGAACTAAAGCTATTATAATATATTGTCAGCTTAATTAAATTGGTTGTGAACATGATGCACTGGGAACACAAAGGCAGCATCATTGTGTAATATGTAGGATTTACTTTATTTCCTAAAGCATAAGTCAACTGTAATTATATGTGTATTCTAGTTAACCTGTTCAGGGATTTTGTTACACACCTCTGAAGCAGGTGGGACTTGAACCTAAAACTCCAGGCTCTAATGCAGGCACATTACCACAACACCATTAGAGTCCTTAGCTACAATTGTAGGCTAAGTTGACAGAACTAATTTAACAAGTTAACTGATCTTGGTTTGTTACAAGACCAATTCAGACACAAGTATTTTTTTCAAGTTTCACAGAATTAATTAAGCTTATCAGGATATAGGGAGGGCAATGGTTGAGTGATATTATCGCTGGACTGTTAATCCGGAGACCCAGATAACATTCTGGGGACTGGGGTTTGAATCCTGCCATGGCCGATGGTGGAATTTGAATTCAATAAAATATCTCGAGTTAAGAATCTAACGATGACCATGAATCTATTGTTGGAAAAGTCCATTTGGTTCACTAATGTCCTTTAAGGAAGGAAACTGCCTTCCTTACCTGGTTTGGCCTACATGTGACTCCAGACCCATGGCAATGTGGTTGACTCTGAATCAGGGATGAGTAGTAAATGCTGCCTGGTCAGCAATGCCCTCATCCTGTTAATGAATAAAAAAGAGATAAAAGTAATGATACTTGATAAAAGCAGCGCATTCAATCAATTTCTTACTGCCTGTGACCTGTGTTCTTTGGTAAAAGCTCTTACCTCAAAGCATTTTCACGTTTGTTAGCCTGTATTTACATTAGCTTGGGCCATAAAAACAGCAACATAACCATAAATCATTGACTTTACCTTGACTGGGCCGTAGAGATATTCTCATGTTTTGCGGAAACATTTCTTACATATACCCATGACCAAACAGAATATCATTAAATTCCTTACTTGTTTAATTAGATTAAAATTATCAAAAAGTAACTTCAGTCTTACAGTTGGATTTGATCCTGTTTACCGCTTGGATATGTAGGTAATGCAACAAGAAAAAATGGATGTGGAGTTTAATATCATAGCTCTAGGGTCTGACTATTTTCCCTTTCCTCGTTGATTATGAACACGCGATGAAGTTGAAGATTGAAATATGCCCATATTCCATATGTACCTGGTTGAGATAAAATTCTGTGCTCTACCCAGACACTTAATTAAATCAATGCAACAATTTTTTGCCTCGACAAACTTTCTTCAGGAAGATTTATTTTTCCCATATGGAAACTATACATGGGACGGTGCCACCACATTATTGTGACTTTATTCCAAGGAGACATAAGATATCTTTTGTTCTTAATTTTCCCAAAAGAGAAGCTATTTTTGTTGTATCTCTTCAAAAATGGCTCTACAAAGTTGAACCAACAAAAACTGGTTATTCTTTTCATGGCTGGGAGTCCTTCAAAATAAAATGTAATCTTTGACTTGATTTCAATGAGATTTGTCCGTCAGTGATAAAATCCCTAATGTTGTGGCACTCCTTTAAGTAACATTGGGAGCAACACTTATTGCACTACTGCTCTGCTAAGTGTGCCATTCCCATCAGTTACACAAGAATCAATCAATAAATTCTCACTGACAGCCTTCTATCCATGGAAGATGATGAACATACAGCAAACAATTTCATTTGTAAGTGCCAATATCTTTGCTCGTGGCTGAAGAGGTCAATCCTCAAGAATTCTGTCTCACATTAAACAACTGAATATTATTGCAGGTTGTTTTGCAGTACAGGTGTTTGTTGTCAAGCTGCCATAATAACAATTGGTCATCATAGCACCTCACAGAAGGTGGTGCCATTTTCCCTATTATCAGCTAGTGATTCCCAGGTTCAATATTCTAGAGACTTCAGGTCATACTGTTAAGCATCCTTGAAATGGAGTTTTGAACATCCTGCTGATTGACTGGCACCACATATCTCACAATAGAGAAAGCTCTTAGTTACTTAACTGTCTTCCATGTTCTAATTTGCCCAACAATCCAAAGAAATGGCATATAGTTGATGAGTGCTGTAAACCTGCAAAATGTTTTTGAGATCATTGTGTTGGGTGATTTAGCTGCAGGTGGTCCGCATTTCACAGCTACAAAGCATACATCATTATGTAAATAAACAAACTTTGAAATGTCACTGAAGATTCATTTCATTTTCTTTTCTGTGAATTGAGCTCAGTGTCCACGCTAGGTTTTAATTAGCATAGACAGGAAACTCTCCCAATAAATTGCGAACTTTACAGGGTGAAGTTGTGCAGGAACTATTGGTATTAATAAAACAGATCTGACTTTAGAAAGTTAATATGCTTTCCATGATGTTTCCAACTTGATATTGTAAGACCAAAGTTGAAGCAAGACAGTTTTCATTGACTTGAGGAAATACAAACATGGGATGGGATGGAATGAATGGAGAAAGATGCATATTTGCAAAGAACTGTCATTTATTTATTTCTGACCTTCAATCATCAAACATTAGCATTGTAAAGATAGAAATCCACCAACAGCTGACATAATTCTCTGAAATAATAATATTCAGCTGTGAAAACAATGACATTAGAATTTTGCATTGAATCTCAATCTCTCAAATAATTATTTTTGGCTCTAAAATGATGAACTATAGGCTTCAAGAAGTCTTTGTTTTATTTGGGTCCCAATGTGGTTGAGATAAATGACAATGTGATTGTTGATACTCACGTCCACAATGGTATCGAAGGTTTACATTCTGGACAGTTAATGCTCCAATTTCTTGAAGAAGCTTGCAGCAATGTAATCTTGAAGAAATCAATATCTGAAGTTCAGTAATTTTTAAAAATCAGTTTTTGTTCTACTACTCTTGGAAGCATTTACTTATATCCAAATATTGTCAAATATCACAGTAGATGTCACTTGCCAGGTGCGTTTTCTTCAGGTGTTAGTTTAGGCGTTGAAATTAAATAGGATATTGCTTGACTAAAGGGGGCATCATGACAACATTCAATCATGCAAGTGTGTACACATACGTATATGCACATGTACTTCAAGGCAGAATTCACTAAATATTCAAGAGTGTAAGCCTTTTTCTGCTCCTGTGACAGTAACACTTAGTTAAAATGCACTGTTTTAATTGCTACCAGCAAAAAATAAGGATATTGAAACTAAAATCTTCCAGTCAGTCTGGATGATTAAACATGGAGTGATGCTTTATCCAGTACCCATCACTAAATTAATTGCTAGAGAGTGCGAATGAGGTAAATTTTGCCTCTGGTGCATATTGAGCAGTTGGTGTTCTGTTTATCAGCTGCAAGTCTGATCAATTATCATATATTAACATCATTTGCAAGAGAAACTCAATTGCCAGGCAGCATCCACGGAGAGAGAAAAAGAGTTAGCATTTCAAGTCAGAAGAAGGAGGATGCTGCTTGCACGATCTGGAAATCCAATGGGATGGATGCCCTGTAAAGTCATCTGACCATCCTTTAAAAACAAGATTCATTTTTCAAAAGTGAGGACAGTTCATTAGTGAGGCAGTAAGTGACATGATATTGATTGTCCAATACAATTATAGAGGTGCAATTAAGAAACAGGAGGATTGTCTCTTTTGCCAGTGCTGAGCCCTGGCAACTTAACCAGAGGTGGTAGAGAGGATTGATTGAATGCCAACCAATGGTTTCAGTGAAGTGTCAAACAGATAGGATTGTTAAGAGGCCAATATGACTAATGTCCATACGCCGAAATCAGAAATGCACAATTTAACTGCTTGCTTTTCGATATTTGCTCTTAGTGTTGGAATATTGGTATTTCTGTGTGGTTTTGCATCATACAACAGAAAGACAGGATTCATGCTAAAATAATGTCAAATCAAAAATTGAAATTTCCTCATTTTTAATTGACCTTATTTCTGTTTCTTACTCCTTTGTTGCAGGATAATATTTCCCTCAGCAGTGAAACTCTTCATTACGCATCTGTTCAAGTCAAAAATCCTTCAAAGAGTAAACAAAAACAGGAATTGAAAAGACAAGAGCAGGACCAGGCAACAGAATATGCCGTTCTAAAGGTCAAAGATAAAAATAATCAATTCTACAAAGAGGTGGTAGATTACTCCACCGTCAGCATTTGCCCCACATCAAACACATGGCAAGCTGTTAACTACAAAGCAACCACATATGCTTCAGTTAAGAAATAAACATTTCATATCATTTTATATGATTCGCTTTCTCAAGGGCAATTAAGGGTGCCAACAAATGCTGACCTTGATAGTAACTCTCACATCTTCCAAAAATGTGACTTGGGTGAAGTATAATTTTGCAACTGCAAATGCATAAGCAAACGTAACTTTAAAGTGTCTCCAGTATCTCAAGTTGGACGTTGACATTAATTGTTTCGTTAAACTGAAATGAAACCCACTATTATTTGCTTACATGGTTCAGATATATTGTAAATGGTGTGTCACAGAATTATTACCGATCAAACTCAAAATGGATACTATAATACCTTTTGATGATTTGTTATCCCAAAAACCGGTCAATTGTACTGTAATTCCCTGTATTGGTCCTTCCATCCTCCTGTTCATATCTTGAAAGTTTTGAAATTTCAGATCCTTAAGGTCCTATTGTTTTAACCAAGAATTAATTGAGTGTTAAATGCCCCCCTTTGTGATTGATGTTGAGGTAATATACCAGCCTTTCTACTTGTTGGCTGCCAGTGAATTAAAAGGCAAGCCATCTGATGTCTTGGAGCTATCTTGTGAATTGCTGTGTCCATTCTAAATAAAAGCTCAAATTAGCCTTATTAAAGAAATACATAAGTTTATAATTGCTTGGTCAAGGAAACGTGCTAGAGGAAGGTAAAACTTCCCCCATCGCCCATGGTTCCTGCTTTATCCTTGTGTGCCTCAATCTTTCTGCAGAGGGTGCATTCGTGTTCTATTTCCCAGTAATGGCCCCTGCAGCCCAGGCATGGCCTCAACTGGTCCCTCAACTACAATGACAGTGGCCACAATCTTCACAGAAAGGAAGCCAGAGATATGAGTGGGTTGTGACCATCTCCTTTGGGTCAAGAAAGGGAGCACAATATAAGTTTGTCTGAATTCAGAGTTCACCAGATTGGGTCAATCAATAAGTAGGTCACTGTTGTCTGTTATTGATATTGTGTGTAAGTATTAAGTTTGACTCAATCTAAATGAATTCAGTCTTTGTTTCAAAGGTATGCATGGCTTTTAAAACTTTGTGCAAAACAGTGTACATGTATAAGTCAAACAATGGTTCTGACTGGTGACAGTGGAAACTGCAAGCTGCAATCCAGCTCTGTGATGACATGTTTACACAAGCTGACTACACAATTGGCTTTCCAATGCCAGCACATGCCTGATGTAGCAGCATCCTCAATCCCTATCTCTCCACTTGATGACTTCTTTTTCAATGCAAGCAGTGAGACTTCTCAGCCAGTTCAAACAATTCAAATAAAGTTCCACATTCTTTGCCTGTCGACTCATCTTATTTGTTCATCATGCCATACACAATAGATATGATTGCTGAAGGCTTCTGATATGCAGCCACACCCCACAAAAGTAATTTGTGTCTAAAGTTGGCCCTTTAATAGAGGCAAAAACAGAAATTGCTGGAAAGGCTCAGCACATTTGGCGACATTGGTAGAGAGAAATCAGAGTTAACGTCTCTCCTGCTGTTTCAGTTTCTGATTTTCAGCATCCACTGTTCTTTCGGTTTTTATTTTACCCTTCAATAGATATAAATGAGCATGATTCCTGAATGAATAGATGCATATCTGGTTTACTATCTGTGCCCTTTGCTGTGTTCTAAATGGCAGAGGGCAAAAATGGAGGAAGGCCTTTGGGCTGTGCCATACGGCAGTAATTTGTTTGCTCTCCCATTTCAGTTATGTCCTGTTTCAGATGGGAAAATTCCAGCCTTGTTCTCTACTCTACCCTTTAATTCTTAACCACCGTCCAATATCAGCTCTGGTCTCCTCCCCAAACTTCAGTCCACCATCATCCGGAACCAACTTGACCCTGGGATGGATCTGCCTACATTTCTAAACCACAGATAATATATTAATGTATTAAAAAAAAGAAAAGCTTGCTTGACTTAGAGGAAAAGGGAGCAAAATTACGTTAGAACTATCTGTGGTCAGATTTTGGTCATGCATTTCAGCAGAGCTACACTAACCGCGCCAAAAAAAAACTTTCCATTCAGACTATGACTAAGGTCACATCATAGCAAAAGATAAACCTCATGTCAAGGAATGAGTTAGTCATTGGCTAGACTGACTGCAGTAAAAACACATCCTGTGTGTATTACTGATAGTTCGTAGACCAATCTCAAAAAAACAGGTGACAAACCGTTCAATACACACAACAATCCTTTTTAACTTGTGGTATGTTTAATTGCCAGCTATCCCTGCAGTGACAGAGAGACTACAAACATCTTAAATGTTTAAAGTTATACAATTTATTATGTAGAATCTATATGAGGTCTCGAGTGGATATAAATTTCAATTTGTTGCTAAAATACTCAACGAGTATAGTTTTCTTTTCTTTTTGAAACTAAGTGGTGGGTGAAACAAACAGGAGGGATTTCTGTTAGGAGATGGGTTGGGATTTTACATTTGATTATTTACTTGTCAGGTAATTACATCAGGCACTGGTGCTACACCACATTTTCTGGGCTAAAATGTTCTAAAGCCCATTGGGACCTTACAGGCTCCAACATCCAGATGCCATATTTAACAGGGACCTGGACAGCACTTCACTCTTTGCAACCCAAGAGCATTGCTCAATCTCTGCTCATTACTCATCGCCCACCCCTGGAGATGACAGAGACCAGGGCAAAAGGAATGCCTTGTTTGAACAATACATCCTTAGAAGTTCCCCTGAAGGCTGATGGTAGAGAATGGAAGTTTTTTTCCCTATAAATGACAACAAGAGGCTGTGCTAAAGGCACCCAGAGGTTGCTACAGAGGTCCACACATGGGAAGTTTAAGAGAAACTGACTCCAGTTGCAAGAGGATAGGTACCTCTGACCGCTCAATTCTTCATGCTCCCATGAGTGTGAATTAGCATTGTAAGGTTGCCAATGCAGCGCAATGTTACACAGAAAGCTGGGTGCCAGGCCTCAATCAAATGCCTCATGCGCAATCAATGTTTGCCATCTGTAATTGCAGTTGCCCAATATAGCAGTACTGAAATCACAGCAGTATTGCCTCTCACACATCTGCTAGTGTTAGCACTTAAAACATTAAAGGAGTTGTAACACACAGCAACTCATATCAATGACTTTATGTCACACCGAGGAGAATTTATACATCTGATAATCTTTCACCAAAGGCTCGCATGGAACAAAGACACAACCACAAAAGATGAGCTTTTGAGTTGAGTTCCTTTAAAGTTCATCCTTGTTTGCCTTGGTCAGGTTTGCTGAGGTCAGCGACTCGCTGGGTCAGGCTCATTTGTGCAGTCAGGCTTCACTCCCAACACTAGGCATTTAATAATGACAAACCTGACTGCATCTGACTGGGACTCCTTATCAACATGGACAAGCTCATTGCTAATACTCTGAGAGTTTGCTCTAAGAAATGTTTTAGTTACAAATGAGTGAAGTAACTGAAAAGATTTTAGTTCACTGGTGCTCAGAGGAAGAAGCCTATCCTACTTAGTGCACACCTCATGGATACAGTCACATTTGTGACTACATGTGATTTCCATTTTTGGCCCAGAGTGTTGTGGCCCTGAATTAAATTTGATTGAATTAAATTCCACCACTGAGGTGTGAAGGAGTCTTCATGACATTGCTAATTAATGCAGGTTCCCAACTGTGATGTTTGGGAAAACTAACCTCCCTGAAAAGGTTTGAGAACTTACTAGTAAGAATTCAACTTGCTGCCAGGCACCTGTCCAATTAGATTCCCCTGCCCACTCTTCTAAGAGCTTTGGGTGGCCCATGGATATGCTGTATCAAGAGTAGATTTAAGGACATTCTGCTATTGGCTTTGAAGAAAGGCCTTTCTCAAACAATCTAATTAGTTGTGTATTTTTCTCATGTCCAGATGTGTTGTCGTGGAGGTGAGGGCTGAAACTTCAAAGCAATTATGACCTAAGGGGCCAGGAATTTTGGTTAGAACTTGCTGATGTATGTATCTTGGGACTCAATGCACATATTGGGAATAAATTTATTTTAAATAATTGGCAATCCTGGCATTACGTTTTCCCTTTGCAAATCTGTGGTCATTCTGAAGAAGGGTCCCGAGCCGAAACATCAGCTTTCCTGCTTCTCTGATGCTACCGGACCTGCTGTGTTCCTCCAGCTCCACACTTTGTTATCTCATCATCCAAAACTCTGTCGTGTGTGCCTTAGCTTGCACCAAGTGCCATGTACCTGTGATTCCTGAATTCACTGATCTACATTAACATCTGGTCAACTTTAAAAATTCTCATCCTTACTTGTAAATCCCTTTGTGACCTGAACCCTGCCCATCTCTGTAAACTTCCCATTGCTACAGCACTCTGAGATCGCCATGCTGCTTTAATTCTGCATCTTGAGTATCCATAATTTTTATTGATCCATCATTCATGGCTCTGCCTTCATCTGTCATGCACCTATATCCTGAAACTCCCTTTCTAAACCCATATATGAGTTAGACAGATTATTGGCTGACAAGGGAGTCAAAGGTTACTGGGGACAGATAGGAAGATTATTTAAGGTCACACTAGATCAGACATGATCTTATTTATTGGTAGAGGAGGCTTGAAGGTCCTAATTACTTTGTTTATATGTTTTAAAATCTCCTTATGTGGCTCAGTGTCAAATTCGGGCCTGTAACAGTCCTGTGAAATATCTTAGGACAATTTATTGAGTTAATAGTAACTTTATGAATACAAGCTATTGTTTTTGAATTTGTGTTAGATTCCCTTGTGTGAAAGTGCAGAACACGTATTGTCCTTGTATTGAATTTTATGATTAGTGTGGAATAGCTAACTGTAAAAGTTTTTACTCAAGGACAGAGGATTTGGTGACAGGAAGTAGATTTTGAAGTCAACTAAATTTGCTCTATTCATTGATGACTAATGATACTGTCTCTTAGTTGTCTAGCAGCATTAATCTCTGGAACTACTTACAGTGCCTCACAGTATCTGGACTTCAGAATTAGAATTGTCATTATTGTTATGCTTGGTTTAGAATTCTCTACCTTGCAGTCGAGTGGAATCTCAGTCATTAAGTAAGTTCAAGAAAGTGAGTGATAAATTTCTAGTCACCAATGGCATCAAGGAATATGTGGATAGTGTGAGAATGTGTCATTAAGGTAGATGATCAGCAGCATGGTAGAGCAAGCTCAAGGGGCTGGATGGCCTATATCCGCTCCTTTGTTGCTTCCTTTGTTGTTCTTCTTTGCAACATCTGAGACATCTACCAATAACTCTTTCCTAACTGAAAAATTAGGAATGTGTACTGTAACATTTCGCTAATGTAAAAACTGTGTTTTTATTTTTGTGTCTTTTTAAAACAGCAATGAGAGACAACTGTTCTTAAAAGCAGAGAGTCACCAAGATGTCTGCATAATTTCACAGCAAGAAATTTGATACTTATTGTGATCTCTGTTTTGTTTTTGTATGGCTGTGGGTTCCTGCAATGTACAGACAAACAGGAGCTGAGCAGTTGTTTAAAAGTGAAGCTGATTGGTTGTTAGCTAACTGAGTAAGTTGGAACTGGAAACAAATTACAGCAACATAGACACGGAGAGCAAGAAACACACAGAAAGCTGTGCAGTTGTTCTCCCCAACAGTAGCTGCCTGTTCTCTGCAGCAAAACACGCAGTTTAAACTTGGGGAAAAAAGTTACCTTATGTAACTTTTGCAATAGTATGCAACAGTTATGGTAATCTGTGACATTTTAATTGATAAAAGACATTTTTGCAGTGAGTCAGTCACTCTGTACTTCTGAGAAGCCAGTAGAAGCTTCCAGATAACACAACTGAATGCCAAGGGCCTTTCAGAGCCTATTGGATACTCCAGCTCTTGCAAAATGACTCAGACAGTCCACATAAGATGACAGGCATGATGACATAATTTGCAGCATTGACATCTCGTTATGGAAATCATGGCCACAAACAGACCATAGAGTTCACGCAGAAGGAAACAAATTAGGAGGTGCGCCAGTTGCAAGCAGGGATCAGTCAAGGGTTGCTGCATCCATCTCACACCTACACCATGGGCCAGCAGCACTCACTGCAAACACACTCTGTATATATCAAACACTTGATGGTCAAGATGTAGCTCTTTGGTCGATGTAGATTGCCAGTGGAGATGCACCCCTGAGCTACCTGTTGCCTGCCACTTTAACACACCACCCTGTTCCCTAGTCAACACCTCAGTCTTTGGCTTGCTGCAGTGTTCCAGCAAAGCTCAGTGCAAGCTAGAAGAACAACACCTCATTTTCCATTTGGGGACCCTGTAGCCCGACAGACTCAATA